ATTTATCCGGATAAATGCACTTATTTGGATAAGTATTTTCTAAGAAAGATTTACTTGGGTAATTGTATTTATCCATGTTCTTTTATTTTTCATGTAAATAAGGTAATGACCATTTTAATCATAAAAATTTATTATTAAAAGGGGCATTTTTGTCTCATTCAAGTGTTGCCAACTTTCCCCTCAGATGAAAAGTGATACCTGAAAAAATAAACTTTCCCTGATCCCTACAAAATCCCATTGAACAACTTTCTCCCCTCTCAAAATCCAAAAAAAGAACGCCCCTATATCCTTTTTAAATTTGCAGACTCTACCCAGTCTGACTTAGATTTTTCAGAAAAATTCTCCGTTCCATTCTAAGCCACCAATGTAATGGGAAACAAAATGGTTGAGTGATGGCCGTCTTCTATTTATAAATGTTTTGAGCCAATCCAAATATGTACCCATCAAGGAGTTTGATGCCTCTGAATGATACAGATTGTTTCAATTCTCAAACTGTTACAATACCGTTTCATGAAGTAGAAGAAATTATGGTTTTCAAAATCAGATTGGACCAGAAAAACTGGGAACCGGTCAGGTGATAGGTTCCATTTTTCCATAAAATCGGATTTTTTCTAAAAATCGTTAATTTTGATCAGCAAACCGCTGACCCAAATAGTTAACCGTTCAAACGGTCAAACAATTCAACCCGGAAACCGGACCCTGACCGGTTCGTTCTCCGGGCCGGTTTAAAATCCTTGGAAGAAACAGTAATGGCAGGTGGTGAAGGTGATGATTAGATAGAGAAGGTAGCATTTCATGCCACAGAAGTTATGTACGTACACAAGGCAGCCGATTGCATTCTGGGGGCCCCATAACTTACCACGTGGCAGATATTCTACGTATCAGATTCCATGACTGGATTGGGTCCTGGCTTATTAAAAAAAAAAAAATAGTATGATCAGATGTCACATCTAATTCATTAAACATTTTTCTATGTGATTTTTGGCCCACTTCATCTCCAAAGTGGGACCAACTAAATAGAAGGTCCCGATCATCAAACACTGATGCCATGTTATATGGGGCCCTGAACCGGTTATGCTTATGGGTCCTCTATCCCAGACCTGAGCTTTTGCCTTCTCATATACACCATACCCAAAAGACAAACTGAATGGTTGGTCTTGGGTCTTGACCATCAATTTGGCTGATACTGGACAGCCATTGGGGCTCAGGCCTTGTATATGATCTTTCTTTGTCTATGTGGGTTCTAAGATATTGTTTTCTCTATTATCCGTTAAAGGTATGTCTTAATCTTTTACTTATTCTTCCCTACATTGATTTTCAATGTCTTATAATTTTCTTTTCAAATAGATAGAGATTAGTATATAGGAAGCTAGAGACTCTCATTAGAAATAAATTTGTCTGTGAGAGACCTACAATTGCATTTATTAATCTTGTATATATTTGGTTTTGTGGGCATTTATTTATGGGGTGTTTCTCTGATAAATGTTTAATGATATTTATTGTTTTTGTTGTTTGGTTGGGCGTTTCATCGGCATTTTAAGTATGGTTTTCAAAATCAGACCGGACTGGACGGTCAGACCGGAAAACCGGGAATCAGTCATCTGATTGGTTCCGTTTTCTCCCAAAACCGCTTTTTTTTTTCCAAAACTGTTGATTTTGGTCAACAAACTGCTGAACCGGCTGGTTAACTGTTTTCCAATTTTTTTATTTTTTTAAATTTTTTATTGTTTTGTTAGAACGGGCCAGCTGTTCGGGTTGAACAGTCAGACCGTTCGAACCGGTAACTGGACCCCTGACCGGTTCGGTCACCGATTCAGTTTTTAAAAACCATGATTTCAAGTAACACTCAATAAAACTATCTTCCACCTCAACTTAATGTTTATTGCTTTTTTTGTTTGGTTGGGTGTTTCAAGTAACACTCCCATAAAGCCATTTTCCACCTCAGCTTACAATATTCCTAGTAGCATTTCATTTCGATAAATGTTGGGACGTTGGGAGAAACCAGAATTTGGAATTCCTTCCAATGCCTCGAACACATAAATCCAAGTGTTTCTGTTTTTAAAATTGTAATTGTTTATTTAAAAACGAACAATGATTTCATGTACAATAATCATCAATGCTTAAGTGGTGCTAATGTGGTGGCATTTTTTCAATAAACACTCCTGAACCAAACATAACCTTTATTATCTGTTTAGAACTACTACAAGGGAAAAAAAGAAAAAATTCATGTCTGACTGCAGCAAAAGGAATCCTTCTAATAGATGTTGAAAAAAAAGTAATCTTATAGAATAGTGGACACGGTGGATCCAAAACTTCAAAGGGATCCAAGGTTTTGACTTAATTGGGAATAAGGGGGTTGGTTCTGTGGACATGCATGACTTTGGTAATCTTCACTTATCTATCTAATTTCCTGACATTAAATTTATATCAATCCTGGACCTATTTTAATTTGTTACTGGGGATTCAGAAAAATGAATAGTTTCATGTTTGCCTGCTAAAGCTAAAGGTATAGTGAGGTTGATTTGGGTTACAAGATTGATCCCGTGGCCTGATTCTTCATACTTCATTGACAATTTGTTGATTGCAACAACTATCCCCATGTGTATGTAGAAACTAGAAAGAAAAAGAACGTGAGAGAATGCCTTTGGGCTGTGTTTGGTTTGAAGGAAAAAGTAAGGAAAGGAAGGAAAGCTACCTTATCTTTTTCCTCAAACCAAACATAGTCTTAAGGATTAGATTTCCAATTTTTTGATTTGTAAGTAGGGCAATGTTTGGCATTGATGCCGATTATCTAAAAATCAATGCCACGTCAGATCCACGGTAATTCCTCAGAACATTGATTAATTGTTTGTTTGGTAACCGATTTTCTTGATTTTTGGGACATTGTTGAAAAACGATCCCTGAAACCAGGCCCAAAGGAGGGATCACCATTTTCAGTGATTCTCCGATTTTACGGAAAAATCTTAGCTGTTGGAGGCCAATAGCCTATGCTATTAAGAGAATTTTTGGAAATGCCATGTTACTATGAGAATGGATAAATTTGTAATTATATCTTAATTTATTTTGACTAAAAACCAAAACATGGGCGTGAATAACTAAACGCTCCGATTTCTGGCCAATTCCTTTTTCTGTGGGGTGACATGGCATCCTATGTGTAAAGTAGAGACAGTGATTCGATGCTTTACAAATCATCAGATATATTACTTGATGCCAACACATGCTGATTTCTTTTTTTTTTCTTGTGATATTTTATGCATTTTTTGAAAAATACCCTTTAGAATCACTACCTAACAAATTCACAACTGATTTTTGAAAGATCAACTTAAATGACAAGAATGATACCAATAAATACTGGATGCAAGGTTGAACACTTGAACTCCTACAACTTTGCAGTTGCTCGATTAACATTATACTGACGGCTGAAATTCAAATATAGTTCTCACCTCCGTACACACAAAAATAAAAATTTAATTCCACCTGTAAGCAGAAGACATGGTTGTTCTCTTGCTTTAATTAAAATGTTTAGTTCCATAATTGGCTTAACGTAATCCCAAAACCATTTAGTTTGAAATGTAGCAGTAGGTCCTGAATTACAAGTAATTTAGGCCCACTTTGGAAAGAGTGCAAACAGAAATGTGCAAGTCTTGAATTTTGTATTTTTCAATCAGTATTTGCATTTTTGCACTCCTTCCAAAAGTATAAATACAAATGTATACAGTATAAATGGCATACAAAGTTTTACATTCTACTGTATTTGAACTCCTTCCAAAAGTATAAATACAAATATCATGCATATAAAATACAAGGTTTTACATTCTACATATTTGTATTTGTATTCCTTTCAAACTGAACCTGGCTGTATTTGATTGCAATGCAATTTTATTTGCACTAATACAAATGCATGGGAGTACAAATAAAAAAAAAAGAAATGTAAATTCTCGTTTAATTTTGTTTTGGATTTTCTTTTATTCAGATTCATGTGTTAATTTACTTCATTTGTACTGCAATCAAACAATATAAACTAAAATTTGAAACAAATAAGTCAGAATTTACACTCAAATTATTTGCACTGCCATAATTTTACATCAGTAATTCAGTACACGTATCAACCAAACCGCATGGACTCTAAATTCCAAGACAACCTTTGCGGTCCAATTGCCTACGTATTAATAAAATTCTTTTTTTTTTAAGAGGAAAAGCTTTCATTGAAATTAAGCATTAATAATAACCTCAATTAATACGGTTTGTAACCAAGTTGCCAAGTTGGGATAACAGAAAATAAAGAAAACTCCCAACTCTCCTCTTGACATTGCTGTCATTTGGTGAACTGCTCTGAACATTTGAAGCATTCTTATATCCATTAGAACCGATCGACAAGGAGAGAAACCGATGTCCTCCTTCAGGATGGCGTTAACCCTTGACAGAGAATCAGATTAAAGAATCACATTCTGAGCTCGGAGCTACTACTGAAAGCAGAACCAAAGCCGTCACCCCGCCCTCTCCCAACCTGTTTGTTAAAGCCTCCGCCATCTCTACCGTGTATTGGGAACAGCAGGAGATGTTCCCCACTTCACCTCTCTCCCTTGATGCTTCTTCCAGTTATCCTACTGTTGTAAGAAACTTCTTTTCATCTTTTGTAATATGATTTGAATAACCACAACACAATGCAACGAGAACGAATTTCGTTCACAATAACTGTGCATTTTCTAGAAGCGAGAAAATTCCACTCCCACAACCCTATCGGAACCCTTCCCTGCAACAAAATTACCAACGAAATAAACTGGGACCATCCAAAGCTCACAAAAAAGAAAATGATGTTCTTCCTTTGGACATAGATTAGATATCATAGAAGCACCCTCAAGTCTTTTATTTTGTTTTCCTTTGGCTGGCAAACTGGGAAAGTTATTCTTGCATCTTGTACACAAGGAGGAGAGACCAAGCCTTCTCTGGATGATCTCATGAAACAAGTATTTGTTTAGCATACCATTAACCATTCAGTGTTACATGCTGCTAAGTGGAACTTAAATAAATAATAAGCAATCTCACCAATGCCAAGGGGCCAATGAAAAAGTTAAGGCAAGGAAAGAAGACAGTACATCCCTCGGAGTCGGAGGAGAAACAAAGAAGAAAACACAGATAAAGCACACTACTACAGCACTTAGGATTAGGAAACAGAAGAAGATGATGAAGGGCTTCCGCAGATTTTATGCCGCCCCAACATACAAACAAGTGTCGCGGATGCCGTAGCAACAATGCAAGAGTAATATGAGAGATTCATACCCTATCCAAAGTCAACTGTCTACTTTTATATAGAAAATTACAGATATCGAACCTACAGACTATCTACGCTGGGCTAAAAAAAGAAAAAAAACAAAAAAACAAAATTACATCATATTCATATATGAACCACTTGAATGTGTGTATGCTTCCTTGAAAAGAATTGGACACCACCCCTTGAACAAGAACCAGCATTCTGAAAAGCAATCCAACCAACCATGTATGTCCCTTTTAGCTGGACGCAACCGGTTTTGCAATTGCCTGTTTGATGGCCTCGGCGTATGTCCTGTGCTGATAAGTCAGCGTTGAATCCAGCAAGTCCCATAGAGATGTCTTAGGGTTCCAACCTGCATCCCATATTTCCAAAAAACTGTGTCAATACCAATGTTACTAGGCTAAACGTGACTGAAGCGTTTGATGTATGTAGCCAATGAATAAACGAAGCAGTACCAAGCTGTTTGTTGATAATCGTCATGTCCGGAATTCGCTTGTCACTATCATCATATCCTTCACCATAGAACTCTTTAGAGCTTACATCAATGCTAGGTACCTCCAATGGAGGTTCTCCACTAACTTTAGAATAAATCTGGAGTGAGCATGGGGATTTTTTTTGTCAGAATGTGTGAGAGAGAGAGAGAGAAATTTATAGTATTACAATATATTAGAATAAACATGGAAATAACATAAATTGAAATAAAAGCATTGAGACGAGAGAGGTCAACGAGAAACAAAAACATGAATTAGCTTGTTTAGTACCTCAGTCATCATTTCTGCAAGCTGCCTCACCGTAACTTCATTGTTAGGGTTGCCCACATTGAAAATTTGACCATTTGCCCTCGCCGGGTTTTCCTGAATAATCATCACCAAATTTTCAGTTCCCAAGTAAACGAAGCAGTTTATTGCCAAAAAAGAAGTAAACAAAACAGGAAAAATGATTGTTCACATACAATCATCAAGAGAACAGCTTCAATGGCATCCTTGATGTATACAAAAGTTCTTTGGGATTGGCCACCATCCACAAGCTTGAGTGGTTCACAACGAAGGAGATTCTGCAGATGGAAATGGTATAATTAAGTCAGAAAGAAATGCACCTATAGTTGCTGGAGCTACAATGGAATTTGAACTTACGTTACTAAAGCATGCTAGAACCCTTGGAACACCCTCGCTTGGACCATCAATACCAGGAATGAAGTCCATCCTTGGACCAATCCAGTTGAAAGGCCTCACAATGGTAAACTCAAGCCCATTTTCCGCACCCTCAGCTGTAATCAATTGAAATAAGCAAAGGTTTAAAAAGGATGAAAGAAATTCCTAGTGAGAAATTTACTGCTTCATAAATGAATTTGCCCACAGACCATATATCAGCCTTTCAATCAATTGTTTTGCACATGCATAAGACCACCTCTGCTTCTCAATAGGGCCAAAAATGCAGGGAGAGGCATCTTCTTTGAGCACATAGAAGTTAGGATCCTATTCCATCATAACACCCATCAGAAAGTTGGCAGTCTCAACTAAAATAGCAAGATGATTCTTTGAACAGGTAATTGTAAGCAAAGCTTATCCATAAAAAAAAAGAAAAAAAAAAACTGTAAAAAAGAAAAGATCTTTTGAGACATAAGAAACATTATTGTCCAGCATGAAGTTTCAATCTTCATGTGCAACAGTATCATTCCATGATTTATGAAGTTGTCCACCTTCAAACGGCTTGTACAAATATCTACATTACTAGTCCAAAATGACACACAAATATAATTACAACCTATCAAACTGGAAATAATAGCAAAGGTAGAATGTTATGATCCACCCATCAACCAAAAAAAAAAGACAACTCGCTAAGTGCCACTGAAAAGGTAGAGCCAAATGTGTCTATAGACAAGAACTGGAGTAAGAGAAGGGGATAGTTTTTTTGTTTTTTTTTCTTAATATTCTTTTTCTTATGAGAATGAGAGTGAGAAAGGGGGCTTTAGATTTTTTGTGGAAGTAAAATAAAACTTAATAAAAATATGAAATTACAAGAAAGGTGACCAGTAGTCACCCAAGAGAAGAGACAGACAACTCCTGAAAAGACCTGACCAACACCTTCTCAGACACAGGCAGACAGATCCACCGCTATAACCATGTGCAATATGAAATTCATCTTCCAATATCATTTATCTAAATCCAATCAGGTTTGAAACATCTAATGCAGATAATAGCCTTCACTGAGAGAGACAGTACAGGCCTCCACAAAGGCCTATATCAACAGAGGTGGATACCTAAACTCCTTATTGAACAATATAAGAGCCCACAGGTAGAACCATATTTATCATGTTCACTTTGTAGCTTAGGTGGGGTAACCATGTTCACCACATCACCTTACCATTATGAGGATGGCCCTGTTCTGATATTCAAATCTATTCAAGGCCTATCTACCTTTAAAGTAGAAACCATTCTTTTTTGTATCAATTACCATCCAAATTTGTTTAACCCAAATCACTCCATTTCAGGAATACCCCTCTCCTCCTTTTAGAGCCTTCCAATGCACCAAAACAGTCCTACCGGGTGGAATAATCACAGCTATCACCTATAGAAATCACTTAGCCACCGTTTAAGCTTTTCCCCAGGTTCCAGAGGTGCATTTTACATTCTGATCTTAACCTAGTTAAGCATGTATATTCATAAACAACATAAACAGTGGAGGGGAATGAACACTTCAAGACTAACTGATCAATTCAAGGTCATTATAAATCCACTGACGGAGTGACGGACCCCCACCTTCTATGGACATATGATGATCTCGTAATCTTAATAAACAAACTAGAATACCTAAACTCCATCCTGGAAATAGGACATCCAATCTCCATCGTAAGCCTGCATTAGTTGATGAATGGAACCAGAAAAGACCACCTTTCAAAGCCAATCTTTATGAAATGGAAATATGAACCAATTGTTACTTCATGGTTATTTCATTTTCAGCCTCAAAAGAATTCTCAAAAGAGCACACATGGGCCTCCACATGCTTCAAAGATGCATCTTGATAGCTCTAATCTTAGGCTCCTAGAATGCTTTGGATATGAGATACTGACTAGTAAACTTAGCACATCCTAAAAGTTTCAATGAACCATTCTGATAATCACCATCCTAGCAGGTGATACTCAACAATTTCTTTTCTTTCTCTATATCTCAGGTATCCCAAGTACAACGAGTCAAAATGTGCCCATGCCTTAACCGCCAAAATGGCGCCATTCCAAAACTACTTCGCCCAAGGAACCGGACAATCTAGCTATCATGACACTTGGGCTATAACCTTTACTTTTAAAATTCAACCCCCAGGAGAATTGGATGCCATAGACCCCAATAATTCTATATGCCATTAGATCTACGTCAAAAAACATAAAAAGAAAAGACTTTCTCGAGTCCCTACAAAAAAATCTATAGTTAGTAAGTATAATAATGAGTTGCACATGGGATCCAGAAAATTACAACTTCCGAAGCACTGCATGAATGGATGCAAAAAGAGATTTCCGTAATAAATTGTCCGACATTCAACCGATTCATATCAGATGTCATTAAAACAGACAATCAAGAATAGCACGAAAGTAATCCTGCAAGTAAAAGAGAGGGAGGAATGCATAGATTACATTTCGTAGAGGATGCTCCTTGGGAAGGAAGCTACCAATCGTTTTCCCGTAGACTTCACAAGTAGAGAAGTGGATGAGACGTTTGTTGTTTTCCGAGCAATACTTAACCTGAGTAAACCCCATCCACATCCATCAATGACACTCTAATAAGATTAAATCCAAAGCCATTGACAAACAAGTTAACTAATCACTAACCCAAAATGCTTACCACCGGGAGCGCATCGATGAAATTGCTGTAAATTGTGTCAAGAGGACGCGTATTGTAATCCGCCGGAGTACATATCGCGGCAAGATTAATAGTCTACAGTACAAGAGCCCACATTAACAAAGAAACTACAGATCTGAACCATCAAAGTGGCTTCGGAAACAGAAGAAATCAGGATTCGCAGAAAAAAAAAAAGAAGAGCAGAAATGAGGAGCAAGACCAGACCAGATCTGCCATCTTGATGAGCCCCTCGAGCCTGGAGTCATGCTTGATGTTGATCCGGTAAAACTGGATTCGGTCGGCCCACGGCAGGGAAGCGGGCTCCAGGAGGTGCTTGATCTTGTCATTGTAGACATCAACCGCCAAGACCTTGTGGGGAGTCTCGGCCATCAACTTCTCGCAGAGGTGAGACCCGATGAACCCGCCGGCGCCGATCATGCAAATAGTGATCGGCTTGATAGGGTTCCCGTCAAGATCCACTCTCGCCGGAGAAGCCATTCTCGGATGCCTCACACTCTAGCTCTCTCCTCTGTTGCTTTCGGTTACTATCGTGCGCCGGTGGAGGAGGAGGATGAAAAACTCGAAGACGAATGGCGCAGCGGAGGAACGGGTTTAGTTCGTCGGGAAATGAAGAAGAGGAGGCGGCCCCCTTTTTCTTTCTCTATATTTTTGGGTGGGAAGTGGAGCGAAGGGTATTTATGGAAGAGGAAGGGGAAGTGGTTACGTGGACGCTCTCGGCCTCTCCGTGGGGGCTCACTTCCATTATTTACGATCCATGTGAGTCGCTTGAAAACATGAGTTGTACGTCCCTGTCGTCACGTGTATCGTTTTCAATATTAGTGTTCCTGTACCCATCTGCCCACGGAAATTCATCTTATTTACATTCCATTGCCACTGGGATTGGGATTGGGATATGTACATAGTAAGTACATAGTAGTGACAACTCGCAAGTAGGGGAGTCCGTTCCACGGTTCGGTTAACCGAATCATGTCCTCTTTTTGTAAATACATCATTATAAATATAATATAAGTATATATTTATATATAATAAATATATATTTATATAAAATACACAAAAAATAAAAAATATGTAAAATATATATAAAATATACATATAAATATATATATATATCCATCGGTTCGATTAACTGTTAATTTTTTATAGATTAATCAAAAATCAAATTGATTATTCGGTTTTTTAAAATTTCAAACCGAAACCAAATCGACCAATTCGATAACTGCATTTTACGGTTCGATTTTTCATTTTTTTCATGAACACCCTTAGTTGTCAACTGGTCGGGGCTCGGTTTGATCCAAAACATGAATAAGCATACTCAACCCGAATATACAAAAGATCGGATCCTAGACCCGTCCACCTATGCACAACCAACACTCTTCACATCGACCTCACAGGATATACTAGCAGCACATCAGGAACATCTCTTCTACTTATATATTATTATTTATTGGAAATGTTTCCCATAGATCCCAATTCAATCCACATTACTTCTCATAGAATGATCCTCGCATCAATCTCAAAGCACTTTGGACCGTGTAGTGGAAACACCTTTCGTATGTTGTCAGTCACGGGGAGATGTTGTCAATGCACAGCAATGGTGTAATGTGGGGTTGGTGTGAGAAGTGAGAACAAATCCCAATCCCAAAGCTCAGTTTAAGAGTATAAATATAAATATGTGGAATGCAAAACCCTGTATTTTGTATTATTTATTTATTTATTTATTTATTTATTTTGCACTGTACTGCTTTCAAACTAAGCCCAGGTGGCTATTATACCAAAAAAACCTTCAACCGAACAATGGCAATCGGTCGGGTTTCATGCAGGTATTATCAACCCGAATCCGGCCCGGGACCTGAAATACAAACTCGACGGGTTGGTTTGGTGCAGATTGCCACTTAATCCGGTGCACTAACAACATCCCTTATTGGATATTGGTCAACGTTTTGTCATTTCAAAAGAAAGACGAGAGGCTTTCACGTTCTTACGTGCGGACGAGATCTCAACTGTCATGCCGGAATAAATTTCGAATCCGAAGGTTAAGATCCGATCATGCACGTAAGCACTTGGAGCTATCAGTTACGTTTAAGAGTGTGTACCTTGGTCACCACAATTCGCCGATGTGAGCACGCACCGACACACACACACGCAGTGAGACCGTGAGAGCGGTGGGAATCGGCAAGTAGATTAACGTCGCGTTTATATGTGTGGGGTCGTTTGGCTTTTGACGATGACTTTGATAGTTTGATTGATGTATAAGCATCAGGTAATCATGATAGATTTTTGATGTGGTAACAATTAATAAGATGTGGATGGTTTGTCGTCTTTTGTGATTCTCGGTTCTTAAGCAAGAAACTAAAAGTCTAAAATATATTATTGGTTGTTTTAGCAAACTCGAATAAGATTTTTTCCTGTTTTTCTTTATAGATTTTTCTTTTTTTTTTGTCGTGAAAGCTTATCTTCTTTGTAAAATTTTCTGTTCTTCATGGCATTGACTCGCCTTCATTGGAAACAAAAATTCCCTCAAAATATATACTTTAGTAAATAAGAAATCCCTTAAAATATTTGAAAATTCTTTTGGTTTAGGATATAAATTTCTTGGTTAGTTGAATTGGATATTTTCATATAACTGCAACTTATTGTTAATACTTAATAATGATTTTCTCTGCTCAAAACATGAATCCTTTTTCATGATAATCAAGGCAAGGTTGGGTCTGTGGGTAGGGTTGGGTTGGTTGAGAAGAAGAGAGATAGAGTGGGCATCTGAATGATGTTCTCATTGTACAGCGACATATTGAGAACATCTCCATATTTGTTTACTAGCGGGGACCCGTGCATTTGGAAATTGATAATTGTATTAATAATTTTTATTTTAGTAATTTGTTATAAAAAATAATTTAGTAATTTAGATTAATCGTATTAATAATTTTTTAACAAAAATAGTAAATTACTTGATAAATAATTATTTGTTCATATTATCCATTAGTATTCTATTTTATTTATTTTACTTTATTAATAATTAAATTAATCCATAGGTTAACTTTTTAGTCATAATTAAATTAATCTAAGCCCAATTTCAAGGTTTAAGACTTTAGGTTACGCTTTGGTCGAGAGATCGCATCTCTGCCCCACAGTACATCCCCACCGTGTATTGGGAACATCTCTCAATGATGACATCATCGGGACTAGTATTATCATTGGGAGATGTTCCCAATACACGACAAGGATGTGTTGTGGGGCAGCGCCTTGTGGGGCGGAGATGTAAACTCTTTGGTTAATCCTCAACCTGACCCAACCCCTTAGGTTGCACCCCTAAGAGAAATGTGAAATTTGTAATTAGAATGAATTAAATCTAAGCACAACCCATACATGCATTTTTTTTTTGTTTTTAATTATTTTTAACTAAAAATTATTAATATTGAACATGAAGGAGCTATGAGGCCATAGGGGTTGAGCTACCCCCATTGTGTGGCATAATGAACCAAAAACATAAAAGATCTCAAGCTAGGTTTTGATAGTGTATTAATAATTTGGGTTTATAGATTGTGTAGCCCAGTCCTGCCCACACCCTAAGCATAATAATATTTGTTTGGGCTTGGGATAGGAATAGGCTCGCCCAGTCGCCCATGTTAATTATAAAACTGTGGCAATAGGATGGGGACCATACTCCCCATCCTTGATCCCGACTTTGAAACAAATCCATGTCCTTGACCTCAATCCCCACTAGGGATAAATATTACCTTCCATCCCCAATTCCTAATGGAGACAAGTTCTTTGCTAGGTACATGAATCCCTAGAATTTTTAAATTAAAATTATTTTCATAAAATATATTTATTTAAAATAAGGGAATTTTTTTAAAATACAAAAATATTTTAATTATATTATGATATAAAAATGATAAATAATATTATATATATAATCGGGGTTAGGGCAAGGCAAGGAATTCACTCCCCCATCTTCATCCCTATCCTCAGTTGGATATCATTATCAATTGTTGTCCTTGCCAAGGCGATCTCCATCCCCAACTGGTGTTGAGTACCTAATAGGACAAGGTACATTGCCATCCCTATTCATATTCAAATCTTATTAATTGGTTAATTGTCAGGAAACTATAATTTGAAACCTAATAACTAAAATAAATAAAAGCCTAACCTAAAGTCTTAAACCTTGAGCTCGGGCTTACATTAATTTAATGATAACTAAAAAAGCTAACCTATAGATTAATTTAATTATGGCTAAACTTAACTTTATATTTTTGTTTATATTTAAGTATTTTAATTATTTAAGTGACACTTAAAAAAATAAAACATTTAATAATTAATAAAGTAAAATAAATAAAATAGAACAATAATTTATTAATAAGGTAAAAAAAATTAAAACACTTAATCATTAGCAATAATTTCGATTAAAACACTTAATCAAAATTACTAAATTAATAAATCATAGCATTAATAAAATAAAGATTAATTATTTTAAACAACATATCATTCCTTCCTTATAATAGTTATCACTTTCCATTATCGTTGACAAATTTTGTGCATCGCAAGGGTCCTTGCTAGTAAAACATAAACTAACAAATTTCTTAAATCAGTGTTTAAATTTCTTATTTTTATTAGTGTTCATTAAGTTTGGTTTTTAAGTGAAATTGAAATGCTTTTATTTAGAGTTTTAAGAAAACCAAATAGATAAATGGTAGTGAGAAAAGACAGCCATGCTACACTACATGTCTTATTATATATAGGGCATATCCGGATCCGATCCAACTTGAAGATCCAATCAGATCTAACATATGGTGATTCGAATTTGAATCCATTCAGAAAAGTTGGATATCCTAATCAAATCCAATCTTTAATAGGTTGAGGTTAAAGAATACAACATAAAACAACAAATTTCTTAATTAGTGTTATATTTCTTAATTAGTATTTATTAAGTTTGATCTTGAGTGAAATTGAAGCATTTTTAATTAACATTTGAAGGAAAACAAATTTCTTAACTAAGTTTTATTAATAATTATTATAATATTTTAAAAACAGGATTGGAATCGGAAACAGAATTGGAATCATAGTCGGAATTATAATCACCTATTCCTAATGCCTATTTGGTTCAGTTGGGAGCCGGAATTGGATTTTGATTGTTGTTTGGTTCATTTGGAGTTGTTATTTTATTATTACTTCAATACTTTATTATTTTATTATGTTTTATTTTCTTATATTAATTATATAAGAATTATTACGTAACTATTATTATATTATTAATAATATTATTACTTTACATTGTGTAAATAAAATATTTATACATTATTATATTTAAAAAATTCATATATTTTTTTCTTGTTATTAATTTATTAATACTTTTGTCATGAGTCTCTTTAAAACTCTTGAATATATAGGATTTCGAAGGATTTCGAAATCCTTCGAAATCAAAATTAGAATGGTCTATTCCCATAATCTGTTTGGTTCATATAGGAATGAGAATGGTAATTGGAATTAGCAGGAATGGGATTTCATTCCCAAAGGAGGGGCAAGGAATGGCCATTCCCTCATATGGGGGAATGCCATTCCAGTAGGAGTGGGTATGGGATTCCAGTTCCACTCAACCAAACTGTTGGAATCGGAAATAACCCATTCTGATTCCTATTCCAGACCCTTATTCCCACGAA